CGACCTTTTGGGGACTAGAAGGGATAGCTGGAGAACAATACAATAATAACATAATAATATGAATCAATGGATCATTGTGTTGAGAATAACGGGTTGAGGAGTATTGCTTGACTGAATAACGAACTGAGTCGCTCGTTGACCAAATATTGAAGGCAGGTGTTTGTTGACAGCATGTTGGGCTATGATGTCCGTCGATCTAGTACCGAATTGAGACGTTTGTCTCGAGAATATAGTGTCGAGGCGATTGCCTCACGAATATATTTTTGAGGCCTACGCCTCCAGAGAACAGAATGATCAGACGAATGAGCCGAAGATGAGCTAAGCTTCAGATGGCTCTCTTTTATACAAAGATTCCACCCCTTTCCCAGGGTTTCTGTTGTGTTTGTCGTCAATTGAGTCTGACGACTGATGTAGACGACACCAAGACGAAGAAAATAATATTTTACTCGAAAACCCAGATAAGAATGGAGAACCGGCTGTGGTTCTCGAACTCGAGACGAAGACAGAAGACAAATGACTGTCTCACTTATATAGACTTCTTGTATACAAATTCTTAAGATAGCTGTATGCAAAGAAGCAGATTACCGTATGCAAAGAAGATCACTATATGCAAATTAGATCACTGCCCAATAGTTTCAGACCGATATTTTGACTGGTTTTAATGGATTTTCTTAATACTTTGAATATCGCCCTTTTGATCAGCCATTTTTGCCCCGGATGTTGTGCTTTTGAATCGAGAGAGCTGCTTGAACGCTTATCAGCCGTTCTAAGCATCCGGTTAGGCGGAATGAATGATTCATTCGCTTGTTGTGATAATTCATGTTCGAGAATTGACCGGCAAGGAAAGGTCACGAACTTACCCTTACAATATGATACACGTCTCACCCCGCCTTTCGGGATGAGATATACATCATATTGTAGAGCTCGTTTAGCTGATCATGGATATGTAAAAAACTTTTGCAATGGACAAGTGGGACGCAGGAAAATTTGCAATAAAATTGTTTCTGTGCTCCACACATTGATAAGCTGCAGACTGTTGCAGTTGCACAATCCATTTCAGGAAGACAAGCGCTGAAGAAGATAAGAAAACGGAAGTGAGAATCCATATTGAAGGAGACGGTGAAGAGCGTAATTTTCCTCGTGTAAAAGAAGTTATCGAAAAATTTGGTGAACACTGTCGTAGCGTAGCGGATTACCACGACATAGTCGTCAATTTGATATGGCGTTTCACTGAGATTCATATTGATAAGGCGATTGCGTTTATCATGCTTCACATCTGCGTTCAAGAGGTATACAAGTTCATTTGCACGAGAATTTAGTTTACGAACAGCACGCCACTTGCTAGGAACTCTGTTTTGTTGTTGATTCTGAAAAACGCTTGTGTATTTGAAAACAGCACACAGCCTTGAGATTCCACATTGCCAGGGATTCATGTTTACAACGAGCGTGAACAACAATCAGCGATCGCTTGGATTTATGGATGTGATATGTTGTCAGTCAAAAAATAAACATACTTGAATCAATCCTCTGAGATATTACACCAATTTATTTACGAACTTATTAACAGATTTGACTCGCGGGATGATTGGCATGCTATAAGAATGTTTGGATGCATCAACATCGATTAAAATAGTCACTAATCAGTCTAGATCAACTTTATAATATCTTAAACACGTTCCATTCGATATCCAGACATATCTTTTGATGCATCCGGATATAGTGCTCTGTGAACAGAACATTCATTCACTATCGTATCGTTCTAGGTTGGCGCAATGAATATACCGTATATCATTTATGTTGCTGTTACGTTGACAAAACCGAAGTATACGAGGAAAATGAGTTTTTGCGCCGCTGTATGGACATCGTGTGTTGTGATCTTGAAGATGATCTATCAAATGGAATTCATTAAGGAGGACATGTTGACAGTCTATTGTGAGGTGGCTATCAGTTTCATGCTTCTCATCACTAGTTTATTCGTGACTTTGCTCCATTTCTGCTGAAAAACTATTGCATTCCTAACCAACACCGATTCCGTGATTTTGTTAGGTTCCACATCAAATCAAGATGATTGACTGTGTATGGACCTAGTTGGACGTATTTCTTTTAAGAAGCTCAAATTGAGAGTCTTACGTTGAATTGACAGTTTTCGCTGGCTAAGTTATATATGTTATAAAAGTGAAAGAAACATGATTCATTGGTACGTTTAAGCATGCTTTCTTCTATTAGTACTAAGTAACGTGCATAGCTACAAAGTACAGGTTTGTTCTTGAGAGAGCAAAAAAGTCTGCAAAGAAAAAATATTAATTGGTGGTCGTTAGTATTGATGAATACGAATTGAAGGATTTATATGGTATCAACGACACAGTGCATGCACCGGATTGGGTTGGACTGCACAAAACCGACGGGGTGTTCACGTACACAAGGGTAAATTCATCTCTTTGTACGGCCATATCCATTAAGTGATCGACAAAAACATGAAGACTGGAGGCATTCGAGCATTTAGTTCATGAAAATTACGCATGTTCCGTGTAAAATGCGATGAAATTATGAAATTATGTTAACATTAAATTTGGAAGCTAAAACTGAAATTATTAAACTAAAATCAATGAACATTAGCCTCATGGTCACAATATATGTGATTGAATTCCACATGTTTAACATCTTTATATGAAATATTTTGGAAGAAATAATACTACTTAATAAATCTAATCATCGATGATTCTTACGAACATATTCTTCTGCAGAATGCCTCTACTCAGAAGTAATTATCGTTAAGTGATTTGATCAGCATCTGAAATGTTCGCAAGATTTTAGCTTCATTGAATTTATTTTCCGAGTTCAAAGCAAATATCTCATCCGTCCTCACCGTCACTCAAGCCGAACAGGATGAATACTCAAATTTTTCGCGCAAAAAATTTCAGAATTACATTCTTTTGA